AACAGACAAGCGTTACTTTCGTAATTAGTTTTCCAGACACCTTTAGAGAGCGCCGGACACATTGCCTGTCAAGGAACTTTGTACTTCTGGTGAAACGAACCAGGTATCTCAAGGAAACGCGAAATTTGATCAGACTATTTGGGTATTATAATCATTTCACGGTCGATTGAAAATTCGCGGCTCGCTTCGCAATTGATAACTACAGTTTTCTCGTCGCATTTGGATTCAAATAGGCTTGATACGCTTTCAATGGTTTTTCAAGAGCTTTCTTTTAAGAAAATAGTGCTCCGATGGCTTACTTAATTTCTTTCAAGAGTAGTGTGCTGCGTCAACATTGGTGACCTTCGAAGCGAAAACGGCGAGTCGGCGTATCAAGTTTTTACTGAGGAGCCACATGTAGGAATACACTCTCTGCTGGCACATCTTTCTCCGGTTTGACAGGAACTCTGCCTGGAAAAGACCCTGACCAAAGAAATTTTTAGATCTTCTTTATTTGAACTTTTGAGAAAGGCCGTCAACAATGCACCTTTTATAGTCGCCGGTGTAAACGAACGCGAGAGCTCGAGCTCTACACTGGCTCTACTTCACATCTCCTTGAAGAACAGAAGACGGATCATCTGATTCAATGGACGACCTTTTTGATCAAACGGCGAAGGATTCAAGTCTTTTTTCTCTGGCTCGCGCTGACGATGTAAGTGTCGATATGCCTCCAGTGAGTCCAGTGACAAATCACTCTCAAACAGCCCGCCAAGCTCTGTCGAAGTCCCGCCAAATTTTATTCGCTGGCAGGAGCCCAAGACGCTGGATTACCCCAGATATTCTTCCACTTCAACATCTTCGTGTTCGCTTGGGCGATCTGAATAATCAACGTCACAGATAGATATGGTTTCTATATCAGTCATTTTAGTCTCCTTGAAATGTCAATCATAATCCAAAAATTATTGTTACAGGTTATCTTTGTATTGTTAGGCCCGGTTCAAACGTCGAATTTCATATGTGCCGAACTTAACGCGAGAGTTAAATGCATGTGAAGTGCGACGTTTGAATCAATTAAATTCGACTGTTTAAATTAAATGCAACGTTTGCCGTATCTGCGACTGAAACAGTCGAAGATTCGACTTAGGTTCGACTTTTGATTCAAACGTCGCATTTCACATGTGCCGAACTTAATGAATGAATTTTAGTGAATTATTATTATATTACTGGGAATATTGACAATGAAGAGAGTTAAATTCGAGAGAGTTCAGTGAGTTAAATTCGACGTTTGAATCAAATGCCGTATTTAACTATTTTAGTCGACTAGAATAGCAATTAAATTCGGCACATGTGAAATTCGACGTTTGAACTGGGCCTTACTTGTTTTTTATGGGGCTACCATTTCCCTCAGAGCTTACAGGCGGCGCGCCCAAGATTCTGAGGTGAAGGCAGTCTTTCTTTTAAAATGTCGGTAATAATCCAAATTACTTTTGTAGGTTATTTGTGTAGTATCATTTGTTTTTGAAATAGGCCAAATTATGGGGCTTCCCTCTCCCTCGGAGCTTACAGGCAGCGCGCCCAAGATTCTGAGGTGATTTAAAATGTCGGTCATTTATCCAAATTATAATTGTAGGTTATTTTTGTAGTGTCATTCGTTTTTGAAATAGACCAAATTATGGAGCTACCCTCTCACTCAGAGCTTACAGGCGGCGCGCCCAAGATTCTGAGGTGATGGTAGTCTCTCTTTTAAAATGTTGGTCATTTATCCAAATTATAATTGTAGGTTATTTTTGTAGTGTCATTCGTTTCTGAATTAGACCAAATTATGGGGCCACCCTCTCCCTCAGAGCTTACAGGCGGCGCGCCCAAGATTCTGTCGTGATGGTAGTCTCCCTTTTAAAATGTCGGTCATTATCCAAATTATTATTGTAGGTCGTCTTTGTACTGTCATTTGTTTTTGACATAGGCCAAATTATGGGGCTACCCTCTCCCTCAGAGCTTACAGGCGGCGCGCCCAAGATTCTGAGGTGAAGGTAGTCTCTCTTTTTTTTGTAGTGTCATTTGTTTTTGAAATAGGCCAAATTAATTATGGGGCTACCCTCTCACTCAGAGCTTAAAGGCGGCGCGCCCAAGATTCTGAGGTGATGATAGTCTCTCTTTTAAAATGTCGGTTATTTATCCAAATTATAATTGTAGGTTATTTTTGTAGTGTCATTTGTTTTTGAAATAAGCCAAATTATGGGACTTCCCTCTCCCTCAGAGCTTACAGGCCGCGCGCCCAAGATTCTGAGATGAAAGTAGTCTCTCTTTTAAACTGTCAGTCGTCAACCATAGTATTCTTGAATTTTCATTTTCCAGAGTTCATAGTGGCACCTTTTTTATAGTTTTACGTGATTTGTGGCAAAGACAAGACCGAGCCAACAAATTTATTCTACTTTATGCGTGGTGCGACAATCACCGTGGCTGACTTGCCTCCAAAGATCCTTTATAATTTGGACGCTTCTCAGGAGTTCCTTCACTGGTTGTAATCCAGAATTGGCTATTCTCAGCAGCTTGAAGCTCTTGCATTGCATCAGTTGTTCCTTCGACGGCGACCTATTCTTGTCCCGGGTACAATATCGATTCTCGATTCTCGATTCTCGACTCTCGATTTCCGTTTCTTGCTCGTGCAAGGCTTCGGCAACGGGACCAGTACTAAGACCATTGCAGGAAAACCGTTTGGTAGAAGAAGAGTAAAATGGTGGCTTTCGGTGCGTTACCTGTCTGATGCTCGGTATATCACTGCCAAACTGCGCAACAGAATGCGCAAAAAACCCCTCCGGTACTTGAGAAAATACGATTTTTAATTTCCACCTAAAAACCTGAGCGATGTGATTTAGTAACTTATTCATAGTGTTCAGCTTCCGGTTTATTCATCTTACTGCCAGCTGTAGACAAAGTTCGCGCGTACATTATCGTGCTCTAACTGGGTCGATTGTGAGGAAACTCTTATGTCAGTCATTGACTAAAGACCCCCGCGCGTTAGGCCTTTGGGTGACGGACGTCCCTTAGAAATATAAATTGCCCACACTGATCGCCAATTCTACTTGCAAAGTGTTGCTGATTGAGTTGTGTAATGTATTCTAGAGAGTAAATTTAGTACTAAACTCGCAGACGAGGATGTAATGAGACATTTATTTGCGTAGTTAGGCCTACTATCCATTGGGCAAGCATCCCTTTTATTTTCTTTCGATAGCCTGTCCATGCACTGACCTTTAGGTACAGAAACTAGCTGCCTCTCGTTGCACCAAAACTTCGTAGTTTTGGCGTTCAATATTTTTAACGGGTGCTCACAAAACACCGGGACTGCATCGTGCGCCTTTGGCGCTTTGGTACCCTGCGAGCTTTAGTTCATCGCGTTTTGAAAGACGGAAATTTTGATATTCCCGCGTAAAAGAAGACTGATAAAACGTGTCTTTCATTGACTACAGTGAAACGCCCGGAAATGAAGGATGTTTTGAAAGAAACGGGAAAACTGATAAAAGTACCTATTTGTTTTGATAAATGAAATTAATGAGAAATAACCATAAACTAGTTTTGTTTCTTTGTTTTTTGAAAGCGGTTTGTCTGGTACCAGATTTGTACAATTACTTTCAATCAAACATGGATCGGTTTTTGTTAATGATGACAGAATGTAATTACAAAGCACTATGTTGACAGCTACAAGGCACGTGCTTGCCTTAAGCTGCGAGTGTCCCGCCATGTTTTAAACAAAGGGCTTCTGACAAAGCCGGCATTCTAATCCGCCACAAATATGTGAAGCATGCGTCTTTAAAAATATCGGGGGACTCTGGCCTCTTAAAGTTGTGAAATTAGCCCTTTTGCAGGTTCTTGCACCTCAGATTTATGAGCCAATCAGACCGCAAAAGAACCTACGCAGCCAATCAGAAAACGGCTGATTTCCCTGTTTATTTTCCTTCAGCGAGGAAAGTGATTTTAAAACTAGTCTTCCTCACGAGGATAAGTCACTTTAAAAATCGGTGTTTTAGCAGAAAAACAGAGAGACAGGGAATCATAAGCCTTAGATTTTGGCTGCATTCGCAGAATAATTAATTTTTACGCTGCAGACGAGAGGTTTTGCGAGAATGAGTACCGAGAGAAGGCCGCTATGTACGTCTACTAGAACAACAGGGATGAGGGATCGGTGAGTGAACGCTTACAACACCTATGTTTATAGGAAGCGAAGAAGTTTGCAGTTTTAATGTTTTACCTTTATACGAAAAATGCAAAAACAAGACTGAGTTACTAAAGTGGCTTCGCTAAAAGTCTTAGCAAGCGTTAACATTTACGCCGCGAGGCCCATTAAGGCTTCATGACTTGGCCGGGAAAATAAACAGATCAGTCTATTTCGCTATGATTTGTAAAGTCAAATGTTCTGTGCCAGTTAATTCTGCAAATGAAACTTGTTCTGCATTTTTGTTTCAATCATTACCAGTAAAAAAGCTTCTCCTATCCAGTCTAATCATTGAACTGAAAACAATTCCCTCCGTCGGATTTACTTTCTCCACTGACATTTCGACCAAACTAATTGTCCTACTTAGCCAGAATTAAAACGAGGGCCCGTTAGGCTCTTAAATTTAAATTACCCAAACAGACCAAAAAATCCATCGACACTACCAAAAAGAGAACTTTCCAGCTTTCGAGAGGGATTTGTTAGAAACAAGCAAGTATATAGCTCCGCAAATGAGTTACTGAATCAATGACTGACGTCACAGTTCAGTGACCAGTACGTACGATTTTTGTCCACATGCCACAAATTTTGCAGTGTCTTCGCCGAGCCATATCTTTGTTTGTTGTCAACCTACCACTCTCAAAGTTAGCAAACTTTATCTATTTTAAGACTCGTTTTCCAGTTGTTTCGATGAATATTTGCATACAGGTTTTTTTTAAGTCGACAAAACCGTGTAAGGGTGGATGACTGTGTATTGATGGATTCGGGGACGATTTTCGTGTGCATTGGGGCTGTATGAAACATCGAAGTGTTGATGGCGATTTTGTGCCTTGCAAAAATGAAGGAAAAGATTTATATGTTCAGTGAAAACATTTTTATTATAAATGCCACAGACCAGGGTATTTTAGCTACATCGAAAACTAAGTTGTGAACGATGAGCCTTTTTGAATTACTCTTATGGTTTGCTGTTAACATGCGGACCACTGAGGAAACACACGTCTGTAATTTCGCGAATCTTGGCTAGTTTTCAAGGCGAATAACTTTCAAATTTGGCAGTATTGAAATTTAAAGGAGCTCTTTTCAGCGGAGCCGATGGATTTTCCTTAACCTGTCCATGTGAAAAGTTGAAAAAAACCGTGGAAAAGTCTATTGTATGACGAATCGTCTCCAAGATTTGGACTTGATTGTTCCTTTCTTCAAGTAACTCTCTCTAGCACCCGGAAAAGCCAGTGTTCTTAATAGCTTGTGTAGTACGGATTTTCTTTGCCTAACGTGCACATCAACAGCGAACGTAGCAGTTAACATGCATGATAAAATGTATCAAACATCAAAATAAATAGAGAGAGGGTCCTGATCAGATCTCTGGGTTAGTTAGGTTCCCCATGGTTAGGTATAAACTGTATGATGAACAAGGCGCGTACCTACCAGTGTTTCGAAGTGCCTCTAGGTGTACTTTTCTAAAATAATGCTTGGATAGGAGTGATCGTCGTCCGGCTCTGAGTCCAAGATTAACCAGCATTAATTTACTGCTTGTTTTTATGAAGAGCAAATCAATGCCGGAAGTAGTGTCAATCTCGATGTAAAACTGCTGTGCAACCCGCTTCAGTTCCTCGTAGAAAACACTAAATGAGTCGTTTGTCGTCTATTTTAAAACTGAAATTTAACGGCATCACAGTGAAACTGTTTTCATAGCTCAGTGATGAGTCATTCAGGTTTGCGTTTGTAATTGGTTTAATTTATGTACGTTTGAACCAATCAAAAACCTTTGATCTGTTGACGTCATTCAGTTCCAAGGCAGGTCACGCTCAGTCGACTTGTAAATTGTATTGTCCTTGGTGAAAATTTTAATTTATTTTATATTTGTTTGTTTTTAATTTTTTGGTATGGCAACGTACATTGATCAATTGTCAAATAATACTGAAACTTGTTGGGCATTTGACGTTAACCTTTCAATAATTGAATCAAAGTAAAACTTGACCCTTTTGAGGACCCACCGGGAAATAAATTCGTGATGGGATGATATTTTTGCCATAAGGGACGGACCATTAGAAAAGTTATGGGGGGGTGGAGAATTTTTGAGCCGCAGGAATTTTTTTTCGTTATCAAATTCCTTGTATGATTTTTTTTAGGCCGTAGCATGAATATTTTTTTGGGTTGATTGGCGTGCATGAATTTTTTTCATTTAATTTTGCCTTACGCGAATATTTTTTTTGTACTTCGCCTGCCACCCCCTCCCCCCCAATAAGTTTTCTAATGGTCCATTCCTAAGAGATGGTCAAACCTATTTCCTGTTCTCTAAAAAGGCTCTTGATCTTATTAACGAACCCAGCTCGAGGATTTGTCACGACGCATGGTGAGATTTGTTTGTTTATTGGATTTCTCCCGGCTTTCCGTTGAAGTTCGTTGACGTTTCACCAACTGATAAAGAACAGATATAAACGCTCGTCTGAGGGACAAAACCTTCAGAAAAGACAATTCGCGCAAGCAGACTTCACCTCAATCGAACAGGAGAGCTACTGTCACGAGAAAGATTCAGCTGAAGATTGACTGGTGTCTTTAAACTGACGCAAGTGAAAAGCGGGAAGGGACTGCAGTATATAAAGTTTAGAGAATGATCTTGATGGGGAACTCGTGGATAAGTTGTTTAGAAAATAGAGAAGCCATGAGGTGATAGTGGAAAACATTATTTCAACTGAGTTGAAGTGATATACCTAAAGAAAAATTCCGGCTATGCTGTCCCCAAAATATTTAACTTTTGCTTTTTTGAAAAATATAAAACCGGCCCCGCTATTAAAATTCATTTTAAGGAAGCAGTCTAAGTTTTTAGTGATAAGCCTCTGGCGGCTAGGATAATGTCATTATTTTGCTATATTTTTCTTATAGGGAAAATAATGAAGTTGTAGGACATGCAGCTGCTTCAGCAGGAGAGCCAATAGAGCAAGGGGTAGGTAGATATTTACAAGCTCAAGAGGTTCCTATCAGTATCCTAATAGAAAATATCAAAACCTCCCAAAATAAGAAAAGAAAAAATCACTTTTTTACTGCACTAGCACTTTTTCTGCGGTTCGTGTTTCCATGTAGCATGTTGCCGAAATCAAAATTTCATTAATCCTATAGCAAGGTGTGACTTTAAAAAAAGGCAGGTTTAAATTTATCTGTTTAGTACTTTTCCCAAGTTTTGGCATCAGCACAGTTATACTGCGACGACCCGCTTCGTAATATTTGGGGGCTGGGACTCACATGAATTGTGACCGTTGACTGGTTTTTGACGCACCCACTAGTTACAGCAAGGAGCCCAAAAGTGTGATCTCCTTTAATTAATTCACATTCTTCCATGCAGACGTTAACCAATCAGAAGTCGAGGACAGTTTCCAGCTGGCTTCTGATTGGACAAAATCTGCACGAAAGAATGTGAGTAAATCAAAAGCGGTCACATTTTTTGGCTCCTTTCTGTAAGAGCAAGAAGAAACAAGCGTACAATTTTTAACAAGAAAGTGATAATATCTCCTACGCTGATTTAAAAATACGTATTTGCCCTTTTTTTTCAGGCGATCGGTGGTCAACCCATTGAAGGAGTATATCTTCCCATTCATAATGGAGAACAGATAGAAGGATCTCAACAGCTTTTTATTGGTCAGCCTGACACTGCAGAGATTTACAATGGGCTGATGGATTCCCAAGGGACTGGCTCACCATTGCCAGTTGTGCCACCAAGATACCCTGACTGCCTGAAAGAGATACTTGTTGAGGATATGAATTTCAATCCAATGCAGGAGGTTCCCTTATACCAGGTGCATTCTCGAAGAGGTAGACAGCCGATGCAGTACGCGGAGCAAACTAGAGGAATGCAGTTCAGAGATTGGACCGAAGCTAGACCACCAGCAACTCAGATGCACTGCGGGCGAGGATGGACTGTTGCAACTGAGTCGTTCGCTGGAATCAGGTGCTCTAGATCTGTTGAGGAGACCAGCCAATCTCCGGAGCAGAATCAAGGAGGTGAACGGATGCGTGCATCCAGTTCTCCACGACAGCTGACTTTGAACAGGTCAGTATACGTCCTCAAATTAAGCCAAACGCATATCCCATCCAGCTAATTCGAGGGCTATTCTAAATGTTTCCCGATCCTCTGGTCACTGGTAAGCAGTGCGTTATGTTACACCTTGACTTGATTGAAATCGCAGTGGTTTTACATCTCTAATGAGCATGCAGGAATGGGAAAATCATGAGGTAGTTTAATAGACAGTTTAATTTATATGATCTTTGCTACCTAGTCACTTATCAATACGCTGAAAGGGTCATTTAGAGAAAGCCATGAAATTCTACGGAAACATCGGGAAATTACAGCAGTTACAGGTCATAATGACTTCCATAAACATCGTACAAGGGTCAAAGTTTACTTTTTTAGCCAGTATAGCATCCAAGTTTGTTAGCGACTGTTTCCAATTTGTCTTTTCTCTATCCCACAACTCATAAACCGCCTTTACAAAGGCAACCAGACCTGTACAAAAACTGAAGTAATCATCCTAAAACCGATTTGTCTCTACAGGTCAAGTCCACCAGAACCTTTGTTAACTAAAGGTCAGATCTGTGGTGGAAATTATACTTGGAAGATAGAGAATTTCTCTCAGCTCCTCCAGGATGATAGTGATGGAATAAAAACATCACTTGATAGCCCTCCGATTTACACTAGTTTGGATGGATACAAGTTCTTCATGCGTATCTACCCAAAAGGCGATGATGGTGGAGATGGAAGTCACATTGGCCTGTTTGTTGGTATGATGAACGGGGATACTGATAACAGGCTCACATGGCCATTTTGTGGACGAATCTCCCTCTCCATGTTGGATCAAAGCAATGATGCTCACAGCTTCTGCAACGATGTCAGTGGCACTTTCGTGGCCAACAGAAATCTTCAAGCTTTTCAGAAACCCTCTGCCAGCGGACAATACACTACCCTGTATGGCTACGAAAATTTTGCACCCATCGACATGGTTTGTTGCCCACAGTACTCCAAAGATGATAAAGTGATGATCAATATCGAGATTAACAAAAATTTCTAAACATTTTTCATGTAAGAACGTACAACTTCTAGGCTGCAAAAACTCCATAAAATGATTTTCACACTTATGAATCAAAATACATCCAAGTAGAAAAACTGCAAAAGAGCTTCAATGATAATCATTACTTCTTGCAGTAATGTTTCTATACAGAAATGTTAGTAAATTAAAATATGTAGCCGTTAACTTTGCATTAGGTCTTAGATAGGTTTATAATTTGATTTGAGGATTTTTTTTTACCATTTTACTCAATGCTTTTCTTTTTGCATACTGATATAAACCTCAGTGAAACCTATATTAACCGTTTAAGCCGACAGGAGTCAGTTATAGGCTTCTGCTAAGAGTAATCAGCATCAAATTTCTCCTTTCAATGTAAGTGCTTCATAAAAAAGAGGGAAATCGATAAAAACATCACCAAACAAGTTGGATTTCCTAAACGTTCTTGATACCACATGATCCATTTGGGAAATGTACAACGGACAACAAATGCGGACATTTTTTTATATGCGGGTTTAAAAGGCCTATAAAGAGAATAACGACCTCAGTAGCTTCGGATGTCCGCTCGAAAGAGATGTCTGCTTAATACAAGCGTTTTTATTGAAAATTTGAGAAAAAAGTTCATATTCTCTAGTACACAAGTTTACGCTTGCTGTAGTTGCGAGTTTCCTACATAGGGAGAGGGGGTGGTACTTGGCCCCAAATATTGTTACCAGTTTCCGCGACGTACTGAAATATTCGTACACTTAAATGCTGCACATGCAAATACCTTCAATAATATATTTTTGCAGCCTTGTCGCTATAAGAGCCTTGGTAATGTTTGCCCGTTCTTTCCCGTGTGAGAGGGAAATCATTGTTTTAGTCTAAGCCGAATGGATTTACCGTATAGTCTATTTCTTTTAGATGTAACGCTAGAAAATCGCCTATCGTTATTTTTGCGGGAGAGCAAAACTAGGCCGGAGGTTTGAGTAGGTAGTGTAGTGTATCAGAGACAGTGGGGAAAGTTTCCAGTTATTTTCTCAGTGAAAACTTATATTCCGCAATGTAGTCATATAGTGTATAGGTGTAAATATTATGAATGGGGTGGCGAAAAGTTTCCTTGAAATTTTACGTCATTTTAAAAACATCGGCACCTGTAAGTTTATGTTGAAATAAAGGAGGTGAAAGCGCGCTTTCGCCTCGGGGTAGTGGTGCTTGCCGTGGAGATATTTTCTATTGCCAAAAGGTTTGATGTACCCTGCGAGCGGAGTCTCCTAGGAAGATCGAAGGAGACTCTGCTCGCAGGGTAGGTTTGATGGAGATGATTCCTAGAATAATAAATTCCCTCAAAGACTAAACTTTGTTTTCTTTCGCCATCCCTATTTTATGCTAAGAAAAATGCTTTCGTAAAGTTAAAAAGTGAGTAAAAAACGCTCAGCTATTGTGTAGTATCGCTTGTAGTGTCTTAAATCAATAAAGCAAACGTGAAACGCTACGCATTATTTTTTTATTATTCGAACTGCACGTACATTTGATTTCATAATATGAGAATCTTGTTTGATTTCAGTCCGTTAGATGGCCATCAATAGCCATAGATCAACATGTAAATATTCCCTGACTTCCATTCTTCTTTCATCGTTTTTTAAGAGAAAAGATTCGTCCCAATGATCCCGGCTCATCCCATCACGTCCGGGGCCCACCTCACTCCACGATCCGTTTCTCACAGTTTTTCCAAACAAGTTCTAAGGAAAAAAGAAACAGTTTATGGTAACTGAGTAAATACTACTTCATCTGTAATATAAAGGCCAGCAGTCCTTTTCACCGCCGGGGTTCAAGACATGAGTCCCGCTAGAGCCCACTGTACCTCCAAATTAAAAAAATACTTTGACACTTCTGTAGACAAAAGCAAATATATATTAATATAATCATGAGACTAGGGTAATGGTCACCAGAACCAAGGCACGTATATATTTTGGGAAGCTTCCAGACGAGGAAACTGACAGGAAACAATGGAAACGTGGGGTGTAATGGGATGGAGAAGGATGGTCTGGTGGCTCTCGGGGACGAAGAATGTGGTTTCCTTCAGCTCATATAAGGAGGGATGGGGGGTTTACGTTGGATGGTGGGGTCTTCCCTCTTTCTTGCATCAAGGCTGAGGTGTTTCTACTGTTGTTCAACCGTCGGCTAGGACCATTTCGGGATGAAAACATAGTAAAAAACAAAATCCTATAACATCTTTTATAACAGGCCAGGAGCCCATGAACAGGCCTATTTGTCCAGATGTTTCCTTTTATGATTAAAATCTTGCTGCGTAAAGAAGATTAGTGCATTTAATGTAATCTCTAGGCCTTTCCCTGTACCAGATTACATTTAAGTATCATTTGCGGATACATTTCTCCTTGACTATTGATTTTGTTAAATTTTTGCTCAATTTTTGAATTTTCTGACGCAGCGAATCTTTACCCGACTATCCTACGAGTAGCTGTGCCCCTCCTCCACTCCTGCAGAGAACATGGGGTCATCCACTTCCACTGTCTCTCCAGGGGAGGGTACGGCTACAGGTAGGCTAGTCTGAGTGACAGGTAAGAAAGGATCCGTTGTGTTCATTGTGTTGTGTCTGAGAGAACCCCCTCCCCATCCTTCAGACTTGATCTGATATCATTCATTGTTTTCAATACCCAAGGTGTCAGAAGGCTTTCTTTCTTTCTTCTTTCTCCTCAAACATATGTCCCTACTGATGATCATTTGGAAGATTGGTAAGAGCCCTTCAGAGCCCAAGGGGGTCCCCGAAGGTCAGATTCTAATCCTAACGTGAAGTCACCGTTCAGTGTGATGGTCTTTAGGCGTTTTCTCATTGCTTTGTGGTTTGTTGTCGCCGCTTCATGGCTCAAGAGTGTTTCAAGAGAAATATAGAAGCAATGCCCCGGAGCTAAGGTGTGTTTTCTAGTGATTTTAAGATCCTCGATGGCCTATAATAAAGTGGTAAAATGTTTTTTTCTTTTGGCTGACAAGTAAAAATTAGCAATCGAGCTGGGCTAGTGAACCAGGCAATAAATAAGTCTTAACGGTAACAGGACTGAGTAAAGCCCATCAACCAATGAGTGAATAAACTAAAAAGAACCAAAATATTGAATTGCTTTACAATAAATCATGTTTTCACAATACCTTTGCACTGTACAAATACTTGCCCCCAATTTAATTGGATATGTAAGCTTACAATATATTAAATTATTAGCTCCAATAGTCGTTTATAAAAGCAAACATTAAAGCACTTCCTTACATTAATAAACGATCAAACAAGAGTAAAGACAAAAGATGCAAGAGTAGACATATTTAGGAAAATACAGATAAATTGATTTCATTGATGAGAAATGTGCAAAAGAGGTGACAAGTTAACTTTAAGTTAATTACACTAATACACCTATTAGAGGTGAGAGTCTACTAAATTGTACATACTTTGTACACTTTTTATACTTAATTAACAACAACATCATGTAAGAATTTTTGTAATACAACTGCAAAAAAAAATTCAGGAAAAAAAGATTTAAAATTTACAGATATAAAAAAATAATTTTCTCTAAAAAAATTAAAATAAATTTCTATAGTCTAACAAATCTTACTATCATGATGGGAGCGGGGCTCTGTGGAAAAATTGTAGGGAGCCTGTGAAATACAGGGAACCCAGCATTTAATGATGTTTATGCAAAAACAAAAGAGATTTCCAAGTAGCTTTTTTAAAGCAACACTATAGGGGCCTTTGGGGGCTGAGGTTTTAAGCATAGCTTTGGGACCAATATGGGATATTGACAATATTATCATTACTTTCAAACTAATCAATAAATAATTTATTATAATACTATTTAGGTTTACTTGACATCACTCAGGTCAAATAACTTATTATTATGTTATTGTAAAGGAGATGGGTCATGAAATCTATTAAAATTCAAACAGTGGGGAGCTGCCACCAAATAATTAATTGAGTGAGACATTAAAATAACAGGTCAAAACTTAAAGAGAACAGTCTTTCAAATGTTTTGTTGTCTGTAACACAATAATTTTTGACCGGGAGACATATCCAGTTCAACTTAAAGTGGTAATTTTGTAATTTACCAATAATTTTGTCATTGAAGCTAAGTTCCATTCTGAGTAAGGGCATTTAATATTTGCAATATTAGCAAAATGAACTAGAAAACTGTGGTACAGCTCCACATGGAAGTGTCTACAAATCAAACAATTCTGATGTTCCTAAGTCATATATATGGCCATACTGCCTTAATCTACAATGATTTTTGACACAAAATGAGACAATACCATAACTCATTAACAAAAGAACTAAAAGAGAAATTACACTGACTACTATCAACACTGTATAATCGTGTTTGTGTTCCTTTAACAGATGCTGCACTGCTTGTAATGAGTCATTGTTTGGCATTGGTTCAATGCCCAGTAAATGACACGTAAGAGAGTATATATTCACATTTTCAAATGGTTCTGAAACAAAGCCTTCTTTGAATGCAGGTCCTGGGGCAAGAAAAAAGGGGTGCATATCAGGGAATTAGTTACTGTAGCCATGGTTACCATAGCCTGCGTAGCAGGTGTCGAAAGGGGTAGGGGTAGGGGATAGGGAGGAAGGGAAAAAGGGGAGGGGGATTGGGGAGAGGGGGAGGGGATGCCTGCTCTAAGAACCCCCTTTTGTTCATATCTGCGGATGCTGGCGTCCACAAATTCCTGATTGGCTGAGCCGTAATGAGTAACATATTGAAATGCGCATTTCATTAATCAACAAACAGTCGAGATGGCAGCGGTAGACGTGGTTGTCGTAGAGAGTGCAGAGATGTGAATGAATTTATCTAGTGGTAGAGAAACTGTTTTAAAACCAGAGCAAGAATCAGCAGTAAGGGTTCTTTTAGCCGACAGAGATGTTCTGGCGGTTTTGCGGACCGGATACAGCAAGAGTTTAATTTACCAAATGTTTGTACGTGCAAAGAACTACGTGCTCAATGGCAATGCGGCGATTCTCGTCATTT